GTGGTGGTGGTGCTAGTGGTGGTGGTAGTGGTGGTGGTAGTGGTAGTAGTCGCAGTGGCCGTGGCAGTGGTGGCAGTGGTAGTGGCGGCTGCTGTTGTTGGTGTTGGTGTTGTTTCTTGACTACTCGAGCGGGTAGAAAGGGTGGCGGAGGAGGCGGACAGGCGGACTCCCATGGGCAGCCCTTCCAATCTGACGACTTGCAAAGCTTGCAATGCGCGGTCTCAATCAACATGTGCCCTCCCAGCCCTTCACGTATGCGTCTTCAAAGCATGAAAAAAAAACAAGACGGATGCTAATTGCACATCGGGAAGGTTTGCATCTCAAAATCAGAGCACTTGTTCGGGGGCTTTTGGAAGACAGTTGATTGCCGGCTATGCGCAAGTCACAATGCCTGAATGACTTACGGTGTGAATATGAACAGTGCGACTTTCCAGGAGCTCAACGGCTGGTGCTGGCAGCAAAGCTATAAGTGAGCCAGAGCGGGGCAAGACTTGTCCGCGTCTGGGACTACTGACTACCCGTACATTGTAGATGTGGACGATGCGCATAAATCATGAGTTGTTAGTTCGTGCTAGTTCATCTTCAGACCGAGGGCAGTCGTTCCGGTGGACGGTTCGGTCAGCGTAGACAGACCCCAAACAATGAAGGACCATACAGCAAACACAAGCACCTGGTTCCGGCCAGAGTGCACCGGGACCATCAGGACGAAGAGACCCCCAGAGACCACCTCGACATTCTGTGGAGAGCAGGGGCACGAGACCACCAGGACACCACGGCTCCCATGTAATAGCAAGATTCAGAGACGTGAGCAACATGACATCGGGACAGCGTAAACAATCATGCATGAACCCCAAACATGCGCTGCACCACAGGGGAAGCTTCCCGGCGGCGCCGCCTGCCTCGCACTGACACTGACTGCCCAATACCTCTTTACCCCGAACCTTTAAGAACCCCAGAGTGTGTGCCTCGCTTGGGTGAGAAACATAGATCATCATTGCAACATATCGACTCGGAGCCATTCAGGCATTGTCATTCACATATACATCCCGGATATGCCACTTTGGCTCTGGAAAACACAAGGAACATGAGAGTCCCCCAACGTAAGGCCACATTGGCTGTGCTTCTAACTCATGAATCGAAGTTCTGTTCAGGTCGTAAACTCCGCGCGCCAGATTACTATGTGCAAGCAACTGCTGAGGCAGCTAGAAGCACAACCTTGCGGAGAAGCCGTGCAGGTTAGTTAGTTCGCGTCACCTCGACGATCGTCTCCCCTGCAGAAAAAAGTTCATGGTACAGCGCAGCGATTTCGCTGCAGCTCGGGGCAAGAAAGGCAAATGCCTGAGCTCTTGAACGCATTCCGGTGTGTCTCGCAGCAAAGCGTGGATGTAGATCCTTCCGACAACAACCCTTGCCTAAGTACGAAATTCGTCGAAAGGCTCCCTACCTGATATCCCCATCTAGGGGATGAGGAATGGGTTCACTGGTAAGCCGGAACACTTCAGACTGCCCGAAATCGCTAGAGCCTCAAACTGGCCATCCGGCAGAGCTTGCGCATCCGCCGATTTTGCAGCATGGCGGGCTGAGAATGCAGCCCCTTTTCAAAAAGAAGGTGCTGTCCAGGATCAACAATGGTCCCGATGCATGGAAAATGCACCTTCTGCAACCTGATAGTCTCCATGACTAGCCGCTGCGATCCGCTTGACGAGATGACCGCTTATCCTGGCTGGAAGGCTTTGCAGATGATGCCTCGACGGTCTGCAAGACTTTGTCCATGCCCATCTCAAACTTGGCCAGGTTCTGGGCGACAGAGTCTTGAAGCTCAGCAACCTTCTCCGTCAACACTCCTGTGACCTCCGTCTGCGAATCCTCCCGGCACTCGGAACATTCGTGGCTTTCAGAAACTTCAAGCGCTACAGCTGCTTCTGCCATCCATTGCTAACAGAGCACTTGCTCCATTTTTAAGCTTCAGCAGAAGTTCAACATAAAATTGCAGCTTCGACAAGTTGGGGATGCTGGGGTTCAAAGCAACCTCGAGTCCCTGAGTTCCTGCTGTGTACAAAGCAAGTTGGGCTGAAGCTCCGTCTTCAAAGGTGCAAAGGAAGAAGCTTCCAACTCCGAGACATCGTTTTTATGTCTGAGGTCATGTATCCAGAACGGAACGATTGAGCCCCGAGACAAGACTCCTCCCTGCCTGCCTCGCACGTTTATTTCGCTTCACGACGACATCACAACTCTGAAATCTATGCAAACCATGTGCCCCCAGCCAAACATGACGCGAGCCAAGAGTCCTTCAGCGGCAGCAGCTCAGCGCGCAGCGCTTCGCTGACTTGGAGCATGCTCTGCTGGGACGCCTCTTGCTGTTGCTGCGCCAAGGCTGCAGCCAAGGCGGCGAGCTCCTCGCTGCTTGGGCTCAAAGATGTTCCGGGTATGCTACTTTAATTTCTTGCGTGAGCTACTTTTACCGTCTTGCTGTAATGTGATCTCTGTCTTTGCTTGCTTACAGGACAGGGGCAAGTCACTATGGACAATGCTATGAAATTGAAAGCACCCCAAGCATCCTTCACGATTCTTACGACATGGAGTCAGGATTGTGGTGGGACCCCTATCGGCTTAGCAATCGACAGGTTTGCAAGGTGCGTGGCGTGCATCCTGCTCAAACTGCACTCCAGATGCAAGTTTGACCAAGAGCTTTCGCGGTAGCCTGGGAAGCCGAAGGTCAACCCATGTCACCAGATTTACATAAGATCCCGATCGAACGTTTGTGAGCATTGGTGCAGAACTTCCGAACCTCTCACACCTTACGACTTCTATTAAAAGCCTTATAAGTCACAAGGCAGCTCCTGCCGCATGTTGTTCAGCATGTCCGCCTGCTTCTCCCCATCCTCGGCCGGCGTAGATGCGGTCTCCAAGCGAGCCGCGCTCTCCTGCATTTCTGGAGAACTCAACGTGGCAAGATCAGCTGCCAAGTACCACTGACACTACCACAGCAACGACGACGACGACAACAACAACAACAACAGCAGCAGCAGCAACAACAACAACAACAACAACAACAACTACTACAACTACAACTACAACTACTGCTGCAAGACCCCCCACACAAATACACGAACGCGTCAGAAGACACGGTCATAAGTTCGCAGTGTAACTGGAGACCTGCACCTCAGGGCCTGAGGCACTGTGATACCCAAGACTACTTCTTATTTGAGGTTCTTTCGAACGACGCCCATTTATCATGCACATTTCAACTATCCTGAGCAACACGGTCATGATGACCTTTCTTCTTAGGCTCTCCTAGACCATCGAGTTTCGATTACGGGACATGGGGCCAGGCGCTGTCCTCGAGCTTCATGACCATTGACGTCACGGCTGCCTTGAACGAGTTGCCGTCACCTTCATCATCACCACCCAAGAACGCATCCTGCAACTTGGACATCTGCTGCATGATGACGTCACGGATCTGCATCTCCATGTTGGCCGCAGAGTCACGCATGATCTCGGAGCGTGTGAAATTCTCGAGGGACTCGGCGCTGCCTTGCATTGCTTGCTGGGCATTGGTCAGCAGGTCCAGAATCATGAGGTTCTGGCGACGGACATCCGTCATGCGCTGCTCCTGCTGTGCCGCCGACTTCTCAGTCGCATCCAGCATGGCATTGCCCTGGCTCGCGAGAGCGGCCAGGTCAGCACGTGAAGCCTGGATGATCTTCTCGGAGGTTGCTGCTTGACCCTCTGCGACGGCAGCACCGAGTGCATCCACCTTGCGCTCAATGCAAGACTCCATCTCCACCAATCGCTTTTGCGTGAACTCGTTGCCAGTGTCGACCTGTTGAGCGAAACAGTGTCCGTTCCCAACAAACCCTGAGCCTAGCATCGCAGAATGCTCAGAATACATCTAAACAGCCACGAAACTGCAGCTCTTTTTGGATTCGCTCCCACCTTCTTGGCCAGGGTAGTTTGCGTCTGGGCCACAGTTTGAAGCACCGAGTGGGAGTCTTGACTCTGCTTCAGCAAGTCCTGCACCGAGACGTCGCTACTGGCAGTTTTCAGTTTGCAATGTTTGCAGTAGTGGAACCTGTCCCATCTTCGTTGTTGCATGCCCTTCTGAATTGAACTGCCACCATGGTTTCCTTCAGTTCAGGATGATTGCATGCTTCCTGCTTTGCTTGAAATGTCAGCCCAAGTATGCCCGAGTAGCAGCCCCTATCCAATACCGTAAGCCCTAACCTTCGGGTTTGCCTAGCAGTCTGCGGGTGATGTCGATGCTTCAGAGTGAAACCGGGGAAGCAATGGCAACTGATCGATCCTGCTGTGTGGCATCAAGCTTCTGAAGGAGCACATCGGACGAGCTGTTCACAGTGTCCAACAGTGCACGCTTAGTGCTGTCGCTGGCGCCGTCGATGTTTTTGACCAGGCCCGAATATGAGTTCACCATCTGGTCTACCACTGCCTTCTGCGTGTCCATCTTCTGCATCACCGTCTCCTGTCACTAGAGCTAACGACTGGACAAAGTCAGCCAAACATCAGATGAGACAGACAGTTGTTGTACAAAGTGTTATATACTCACATGTCTGTGTAAAAGTGTATGACCAACTATAACCTTTTTCAGATAAGACCTGCAGGTATGAGCTTTGGGAGAGTGCTCTTTGTGGGGGTTGCCTTGCCCAATTACAAAAGAAACCACCAAGCGAGACACTACAGTTCAAACAAAGTCGAAGCATGTCGACTACTGGGAACAGCACGTGGTCCCACACAGCCCCAGGCCGAAAAGTAGGAAAGAGACACACAACCAACCAACACACACACACACACTCAGAAGGAATACACGGGCACGCCGGTTTCAATAGCCCGTAATGCCCACAAACTGCTTAGGCTTGCACGTTCCAGTCTGGGGCGTTTTTGGTCCATATGAGTTGGCATGAGTGCCATCTGCCGGTGCGGGCTCCATTGACGGGATAGAACTGCAGGGAGTGAGAGCCTGGGGAGAAACCTTTCCGAGTTGTAGCTGCTTTCCTTTGCATTGCTGAAGTGTTTTGGATTCCTCTCCGGACTGTGTAGTTTCGATCTTGCTTCGCCCCCGTGCGTGGCTGGGCTTGGGTTCGGATATAGGCTTATTCGGGAATCCCCTTCTCGCTGTGGCAGTCGGTGGATTTGGTGTCAATTCTCCCTATACCGTGGGCATAGGAAATTTTAGCTAACCGCGCAAGCGTTTTGCATTTTGGGTTCTACCTTTTTTCCATGTGGTTTGCACGCTTTACACAACCCGCGCTCCTTATATGTCCCCCTCCCGCATGTGGTGTGGCTGTATGCACCGCTTACGTGCAGTGATATCAAGATCCTTCAAACGACCACAGTCAAAGGGATCATGACTCCCAAACGACCCATCTCTTTAAGATGCATAAACAGCAACAATTTCAGCCCCAGGGCACATTTTCAGGCAGCCCCCCTTTGACATAGGATTGGGAGGTAAACCGGAATGCCAAACCTGACGATACATGTGACCCGAGAGCGAGGGTGTAGTGTGGTGGTTCGTTCATAGCACAGACCCAGCTTTTTCAGTGCCCGGCACGAAATCACAATCCCGCTAAGATCCGATTTCGCTGTAGTCATTGTCGGGGTGTTATTGCAAGCTCTAACACCACATGAAATTTTGACAGGAACGGCGCATCGCAACTCTCCTGCGAAGAGTCCAGCTTCTGCAGCAACACCTCGGGAAACACGCCGACGCAGAAGTTTGCTGCACATGGTGGCCTAGCGCTCTCCAAAGCCGGCTCAACCTCAAGGCCTCGAAGGGTGTGGAAAGAAGCTGCCGAGCCATGACTTCAGGGCATTGCTAGATATTCCAGGGCGTGGGCCAAAGTTGCACCACCACCACCACCGCCACAACTGCGACTACGACTACGATGACGACGACTACTACGACTACTACAACTGCTACTTCTACTGCTACTGCCACTGCCACTGCTACTGCTACTGCTACTGCCACCACCGCCGCCACCACCACCATCACCACTACGACATGCCTATTGCTGTTGTCACTTCGTACCTTCCACATGCGAGAACAGTGCATTGGAAAAGGAAAGCAATCGCCCAAACAAACAATTTCCTGAAGCAGGGCAAGCAAAACGTTCAAAACCAGACATTTCTCCTGGGATCCCAAGCCTGACAGGCGTTGACGGTCTGCAGCAGCGAGATCTGCGAGAAGTCCATGCGTTGGGACAGAGCTTCTTGCGAAGTCTCGAGCTGGCGCTGCAAGTTCTCCTGTGACTGGGGTCTGCAGAATGTAGTGCCGAAAGCCCCACAGTGTATAAAAAACAGGAGCGAACTTGAGATGAGTTCACCCTACCGCAGGCAAGATTGATGTATCATGGTGTTGCCGGGCACCAAACAGTGCGACACATACATGTGAAGGAGCCAGCGACAAAGTGAAAACACTCTTGCAACTTGAACACAAGCGAATGCACTTGCATTTCTCATGCTCGGGCAACTTGTGGACTATGAAGCTTGTCAGGGGCAGCTGAAGCGGTTTGTAGATCCACAGCTCTGTTGAGTGCCCTTCGTGGTCCTCCAGGACTTGCATGCGAGACATGATCATATCCTGGACCGGCACCAGCGCCCTGTTCACTGCCTGTATTGCCACAAGGTGCCGGCTTTTGGAGATTGGGGGCTCATTGATTTAGCTTCAATGTGCGCTTGGGGAGTTACGCGACTTTCTGAAAGCTTGGAAGAAGCACATGGCAGCAAACCGCAACTGTGCAGGTCCAAACGTTGATGACTTGTCGGCATGTTTCAAGAGGAGAATAAGGGATAACATGCTCGACCAGGCCAGAAAGTTCCGTTAAAATCTGCCGGACAAGCAGAAATGTCACCCCACGATCCTACGCAGTACTTCTCTAGCGTCTTCAGGGTAACAAGCGAGTCTCTGATCCTGACCTCAATGCCTCTGTAACAGTAAAGCCGTTGAAGGCACCGACAGGATCTGGTCTTCCATGCCCCCGATGTCCATGACCATGCCTCCTGGCAGTTAGAGTTAGAGTTGCTGGGCTCTTTTGGTGCAGTGATAGCTCCGACCGTCTCTCTGCCTCGGTTGGAGCCCTTACTCTTGCTCCGCCACCTGTGTCTATGTTGCTGCAGATTCCACCACCACCACCACCATCATCACTTCCTGTACTTTTCCCGGCACGAGCCACCACTGAGAGCTATACAAGTTCTGGGGTTCTAAGGCCCTCCCCGAGCCTGCAAGGGGCGGTGTCAACATGCCCGGCATGTTGGGGAGTGCGTTGATAAGGTTCTTCCCCGTCATGCGCTCCTGCCAGAATTGGTCAACAAATCATGGCGGCGAGGCAAATAGCCTCTACAGTCAGACTCTCAGACATAGCCCCCTATCTCCCCAGTCCTTGTTGGCATCCAGGAGCTTTTTGAAAGGATCCTCCTTCTCGATGGATCCACCTTGATCCTGACTCGCAGTAGTCTTGCGACTATTCTTCTTGGTTGACACGGTTCGGATGCAGGACAGGTGTTGCTGAAAGTTCTACAAGACCAAGTAGGCATTAACAAGACGACTGACAGCGCAAGTACAACAGAAGTCCCTTTAAACAACTTCGTACGAGAGCCAGTCCGGATGCAAGAGGCCTGCAAAAAAGACAAACCAGTTACACGTAGTGACACTTGCTGATTGAAGAACAGAGATTATTTTCCTGAGCAGGGACCGCAAGCTGGTGGTTCAAGCGGTCGTTGAAACTCTTATCATCTGAGATTTCCTAAGTCACCGTCCTGGCCCATGTTCATCTTCTCGGCCGTCCAACGGCGCTGCGTGGCATCGATCCTCGTAGCTTTCTAGACTGGACTTAGTAACTTAGTCAGTGCTCCAGCTTAGGAGGAGGGAGGGTATATATCTATCCTTCTCCAGGACCCCTATAATATACTTAATCCACCTTCGAAATCCAAAGGGCAATGCCCAGGGCAGGTTCAGCTCCATGCACCGCTCTTGGTTCAGTCGCTCAAGGACGGCCGTGTTGGTAACTCCGTTGTCCTTGGTTTTGACTGATTTGGACTTGAATCGACCCCAGAGTTACATGCGGACGCCCCAGGCCGAAGCCACTTCGAGCCGAGGACTTTGCCACATTCGACGGCTCTCAGTCCCTCGGGTGCTAGCCTCGACTCAACCCGAAGTCTCAATCTGGCCCAAACTTTGCCCGAAACCTGAGTACATCTGCCCTTGCCATATCCAACAAGGTTCGACCATCAGCCTTAGCATACGGTCTGTGTGGCTGCTCATCCCAAGGGTCACCATGGTCTCGGCCACCAACTCGGCCAGCCTCAAGGTTGTTGCAGCAAGTCTGGGACGTTGAGGAGCTCATTTGCGACTTCAGGATTGAAGGCATATGTTCAGGTGTTCGGCCCCAGGGTTGAAACGATTGGTGGTGCAAGCAAGCGGCAAAGAATGCAGTAGCAGTAGTAGTGGTAGCAGTGGGACCAATATTCGTCATTAGTCGTAGCCGTAGCCGTAGTAGTA